GACGGCGATGGCGGCCGTCGCTGGTCGTAGGGCGCCGGCAGTTCGTAGTCGTCGGCGGCTGCGAAGTCGAACGGGCGGATCTCGGCCACAGCGGGGGTAGCAGTGGGCGCGTCGGGCAGGCGCAGTCGCGAGACGAGGCTGCGTAGGAGCTGCTTGCCGCTGAGGCCGTCGGCCAGGGCATGGTCCCACACCCAGCACAGACAGCACTCGTCGGGCCTATCCGGATGCCACAGCACACGCACACGCCACAGCGGCAACCGCACGCGGTCGGCTGATTCAGCTGAAGAATTGGAAGCGCGCGCCGCCCCGGCCGGGTCAAAGTCGCGCTGCAGCTCGGCCTCGAGGGCGCGGGCCAGGTCGCGCGGGTCCCAGTGGGCCGTGGTTGCCAGATCGCACGCGACCACGTCGGCCACGGGGAAGGCCTGGGTGAGCCCGGCCCAGCGGGGTGGCTCAGCCGAGTCCAGCACCACGAGGGACAGCTGCGGGTGGCGGGCGCATAGACTGGCCAGGCCCTCGCCCAGGCAGCGGTGCCAGTAGGCGGCCTGGTCCGGGCCGGAGGTCGGATCACCGGCGGAGGTGGAGCGGTGGGGTAGACCCTTGAGGGTGGCGGCTACGACTACTGGGCCGGCCGATCGGCGGAGGTGCTTGGACAATTGGTAGCGCTCCATAGAGCCCAGCGGCCGCAGCAGGCGGACCTGGCCCATCTCGCCCCCAGTTTCTTGAGCAGCTTGCATGTGGACGTGGCAACAACAATTTAAATTGTTTCGTGCCCGGCAGTTTATTTTATAATTTCTTTCCGGGCTCTGGGGAAAATGACTGAGAAAATATGAAAGGAAATGCACCGTGGCGGTTCGGCTAAACCAAATAAAAAGTGAAGAGAAAGATGGAGCAAGGGCTGGTGACCTATGGCTTGGGGGCAGGAAAGCCCAGGTTGCTGTACATGGCGGTGGGCGCGACTGTCAAGGACCAGGCGCTCGCCTTCGCAGGGGCAGGCTTCGAGGTTGTCCACACCCCCGCCCTCGCCGGTGCCTTGCAGGCACTGGCCGCCCCGCGTTCCAGCCACAGCGAGCAGAGACCCACCTTCGACGTAGTAGTCACCAAGCTGGGCTCCATGCCCGACGCCTCAGACCAGTTCCCTCCCCTGCCTCTACTTGCCATCTTTTAATGGCGTGTAGAGACTCGAGCTCAGGCTTTTCCCTTCATCTTTTAGGGGCCTGCCGCTGGTGCGGGCGGCGCGAGTAGCAGACAAGCGGATCTTCGTGGCGGTGCTGAGCTGGACGGCCAGCGGGTCACCCCACACGCGGCTCAAGTGCTTCCAGGAGGGCGCCAACATGGTGACTGCCTCCGAGCCCGACCTGCTCTCCGTGCTGGCCACCATCGCCGCCCAGGGCACCACTGCCATCATGGGTGATGGCGACGACGAGGTGTACGAGTGCCCGTCGTGTGGGCTGGACGGTCTCACGCACCATCAGCTGTGGGTGCATCACCCGCTGTACCATGTCAACGAGCCCAACGTACCGACGGTGTGTCCTCTATGCCCTTCGCCCAAGAAGGGCAAGAAGCCCAAGTACCCCTCGCTCCTCTGGCTTTCGTTTGTGCAGAACCGCAGACTAATTTATCACGTTGTGGAACTTAACACACACAACACACACACACACGACACGCACACTAGAGTTCATGACCGTTTCCCGGTGCACCTGTTTAACACGCACGCTCCGCCAGGCGCCCACACTGAGAACTTTCCCGACACCAGTACCGCCCCCGCTGCTCACTCGTATCGCCTGCATTGCTTGCGCCAATTCTCTGACTCTCCATGTGTCCTTCGCAGCAATCTACGCCTTTGCATTGGTCGTGTGCCAACGGTCCGACGGCCGGTTCCTGCTTGTGCAGGAGTTCTGCAACTCTGGGTTCTGGCTGCCCGGAGGGCGTGTCGATCCCGGTACTGTGCTGAATATGTGATTTTTAGTTTGATTTATTTATGTTTATGTTTTACATTTTTTAAATATAAAACAGGCGAGGATCTGACGACCGCGGCCATCCGCGAGACCAAGGAGGAGGCGGGAATCGACGTCGAGCTCACCGGGATCCTGCGCTGGGAGTGGGCGCCCCGGCGGAGCTCCAGAGGTAAGTCCTTCTTGACATTACACAGCTCAAGCAGTGAGATGTGCGTAATCGCAAGACTGACCTCTGACGAACGTCAACGCGCAGATGCGCCGTACGTACGGATGCGGGTCATCTTCTACGGGCGCCCGCGCAACGAGGACCAGCTGCCCAAGTCCATCCCCGACTACGAGTCCGTGGGCGCGGTGTGGGCCAGCGCCAACGACGTGGCTCCCGAGAGCGGCCTCCCACTGCGCGGCCGCGAGCCCCAGCAGTGGTTCGCCTACGTCGCGCAGGGCGGAACCATTCACCCGCTCTCCCTTCTTACCGGCGAGGGCGCTCCCGCCGCAGCCTCATCATCGTCGAGTTCGAGCAGGCGGCCACAATCGTGAAACTTGTGAATTCCTCTTTTTTTTATAGGTTGGTGGCGGCCATCAAGACCCAGTGGTCGTGATCTATGCCCTGGCGGAATGTCACGGACAGAGCGAAGGGTGGTCGAAGTGGCTCTGCAAGGTGTTATATACCAGCACAAGCTGACTCGTAGCTGACCGAGAAGGCAGTGTCGCAATCCGCTGCGAGTGACAAGAGAAAAGAATTGGAAAATTGTGATTAGGTGAGGAAATATATTCAAATTTCATTTTTATTCACCAGCAGCATGGACAGGCCGGACACGCTGAGGGTGGTGCCAGAGGAGGTTGTGGACCACATCGTGTCGTTCCTCGATGCGCCGGCCCTTATGGCGTGTGAACTGGTATGCCGCCAGTGGTGCCGAATCGCACGAGTCTCGCCCGCCTGGCGTCGTATTGTGCAAGCCATGTCTCTTGATGGAGTGCCGCAGCCCTCGTTCCCAGCTGATGCCTACCCCCTCGGTGCCATCTCCTTCCTTCTTCTCTTCTTTCGTGCTGCCAACTGGTTTATTTTATTTTGTTTTGTTTTGTTTTGTTTTATTTTACAAACAAACAAGGCGGCTCACACCACTCACAGGATGGAAGCAACTGTACATGGATGGTAACAACTTGGCCCGGGTACTGCCTCTATCAATTTGAAACTGCGTTATATTTACTTTATTCTATTTATTTCTTATTTTATTTACTACTTGCAACAGCTGCGACTCCTTCAAGAGGAAGTCGACGTGGCCCGGTTGCAGCTGGACGAAGACGTGCCGCCCAACCCCCAGGTCCAGGTACTGCAGGCACACTACATTTTGTTGAATGAATTGGCCTAATGGGGGGATTGTTGTTGTTGCGTGCGCCAGGTGGGCGGCGTGACACTGCAACTAGCGCAGGTGTGGAGGGAAGCCGAGGACCGCGAGGACTCCAAACTCACCTTCTTCCTGGAGCTCCCCCAAGCTACGCCGTCCTCCTCCGCCGTCTTTTACCCCAACGTGGGTTTCATCATGGGTTTCGTACGTCACGCACTCTTCGTCGTGTCACGTGCGTGTGCGTGTGCGTGTGCGTGTGCGTGTGCGTGTGCGTGTGCGTGTGTCCCATGTGCGTGTGTCGTGTGCACTCACTTTCTGGTCGTGATCAGGAGCCCACGAACCATGACGCCCCGATTGAACGGTTCCCACTGACGGTACTTGTGGCCTGCGCAGTATTGGTCTGTGGCAACTAACACAACGGGGTGGTGGCGAGTCCAGATCCAGTTCAAAGCCGATTCCCTCACCTGGGGCTGGGAGGAGCTGATACCCATGCGTGAGCTCAGGCGACTCGGATGGCTGTGGTTCGTTCAACCGACTCGCACCGCACAGGTCCTCGTTTTTGTGCAATCAGACTCACTGTAAACATTTGTGCGTGTGCGTGTGCGTGTGCGTGTGCGTGTGCGTGTGCGTGTGCGTGTGCGTGTGCGTGTGCGTGTGCGTGTGCGTGTTGCAGGGAGGGTAATGTGGTTAAGATATTTGGCTTGCTGGTCCTGCTGCCACACAACGCCACAAAGCTCGACAGACTCAAGGCACTCCCTTCCTTTCCTTCTGAAAAAGAAGGCAAAACAGAACATTTTATGTAATAAAATATATGTAATATATAATAACAAGACTTTACACAGATATTTATGTCAGGAATGCGCTACGGTCAGGGCAAGATCCGCTCTCTTTGCATCGTACGGTCACCATCCCCCCCCCCCCGAATGCCGTTGACAGATCTCACCGTATGATGTGGGGGTGTGGCCATCAGGACTACATCAACGTGCTCACGTGTCGAGCGACGAAGCAGCAACCGCGCATTCGATCCTACTTCCGCACTCACCAAGGAATCCAAATGGTAAGCCCCCACACATGGCCAACTGTGCCGCCACCCATCATCGTCGTCGTCACCCATTATCAGTGGAAGCAAGCGCCCGAGACTGAACCGATCGATTGCAGACGCTGGCGCTGCTGCAAGGGACCGACCTGGCGGCACAGCTGGCCACCGCCTCGCTCTGTCAATCGCTGGCCTTCAACGACTTCTCCTCTGGCAACTCTCTGCTCCATCACGGTATTCTTCTTCTTCGTTCTTCTTCGTTCTTCTTCTTCTTCTTCTGGCATAGCTGTGTGGAGCTGGACATTAATCTAATCACATTGCAAAACTGCATCGGTTGGTCAGGCGCAATCCCTGCGTTGCTCAAGGCACTCGACAGTCCGAACATCAACGTGCGCCGAAGCGCCGCAGGAACGCTTCTCAACCTGCAGCAGTGCCACCAGACCTCGCGGTACTCGCGTCGTGCGCCTTCGTCGCACGTTGAATTCTTCTGGGAATGCAGCGGCCTGAGAGCTCTCTCGGCATTAGGAAAATATGCGAGGCCGACGGAGTGCGGTTGACGGTGAACATGTTCCGGGACTGTCCGTCGTTTCACGTTACACTGCAACAGGAACTGGCTGGTGTCATGTGCAACATCGGTATACGGCCAGCACCCAGCCCGCGCTGCTGCGATTAGCTCACGACCACACACACACACACCGCACACACACACACCACACACACACACACACAGCCGTGTCTGATCGCGAGGGCGCGCAAGAACTGACGTCAACCGACGCGGTCGAGCTTCTCGTCGCCAAGCTCACCACCACGGCGGACAATGCCATCGACGGAGACTCGGCAGTACTCCAGCTTAACAGGTCCGCGTCTTGAAATTGTGCGTTATTCCACCTACTTACTCGTGTGTCGTGTGTCGTGTGGTGTGATGCAGTGCGCTGGCGTTGCGGAGCATTGTTCTCAACTCCGAACGCGTGGAAGCGGGCGACTTGGAGTGTCTGGACGTACCGACGGCTGGCTTCGTCGCGGTCCGCAAGCACGTAGACCAAATCCTCGAGATCTATCGCGAGCCCGTGGTCTCCGCCAAGCACAGCTCGGCTGGTACCTCACAGCTTTACTGAGCTCATGAATGCCCGATGTCTAATGTTGTGGCGTGCGTGTGTCATGTGTCGTGTGGTCGCGTGTGTGGTCGCGTGTCGCATGTCGGTCGGTTGCAGGGGCTGCGCTCTGTGCGCTGGCGCACTTCGATGCTCGATGCCGCGAAGCCATCGCCGACCTCTCGCACTGTCATTTGGCGCTCAGGTGGATAGCAGAGAATCCCGGCAGCCACAGCGGCGACATGTGTGAAAGCGTACGCTTATTACACCGCACGCACGCACGCACGACGCGCACAACACGCACGCACGCACTCACAATTACTTATCGGGTGTACAGGTGCTGGTGCTGTTGCAGAGCGTCACTGAAGCGAGTGAAGAGTGTAGACAGGCGCTCCTCCAACTCGCCCCTCTTGAGGCGCCGGCCGAGGCCGAAGTCGGTGGTGCTGAGGGTGCTGTCGAGGAGCACAACGCAGCCATGCAACTGACGTCCGACTACGTCGACAGCAGCATCAGTGGATGGGCGGTCAAGGAGCTGCTCGCGCTGACCGAGAATTCGTCATCGCCCAACGTAAAGTGGTTCGCCGCCAGGTACACTACACGACACGCACAACACACACGACACACGACACACGACACACACGACACACACGACACACAACACTCACGCAATTAAACGATGGTGCTAGGTGTTTGTTTGCGTTGACATTCAACGAAGAGAGGGTGAGTCGCTGTCTGCTCGACCTCGATGGCGCCTCTCGGGTGATGAGCCTCCTGCGACAGCACTCGGATTCGCTCGCGCACCAAGGTACTCTCGCCCCTCGACACAAAGGCACACGCCACACCGCACACGTGTGCGCACATACTGCACCTGCACGTGGGACTGAACCCGCGGGTTATATATCAGAGCTGTGCTGGACGCTGGCCAATGCGTTCCATTGCGCCCGCCGCCGGGGCGGGCAGCAGCCAACCCTGGCCGAAGACGACATCTCCCTGTTTGCCCAGCTCTTGCAATCGGACAACGTCAAGGTACTTTTCTCTGCGCAATTTTACTGGTAGCATGGCGTTGTTTTATGCCCACATTCCTGACACGTCACGCACCGACGACGACGACGACGACGACGACGACGACGACGACGACGACGACGACGACGACGACGACGATTACGACAGTTGGCCACCCGCTTCGCGGCGGTGGCCATTCTCGCCAGCGTTTTGCCGGCTGCGGGGACCGAGGCAGGCGAGCAGCCGGGTTCCCTCTTTCCCGAGCTTCTCGCGCGGTTGCGCGCCGTCTCGCACGTGGAGGTGCAGTTCTACGCGGCCTGGGCGCTGGCCATCGCCAGCCAGGTGCAGCCCGAGTGGCTTACACACGCGAAGCTTCGGGCTGCTTCAGCCGCGGAAGAGGCGCTGGGCAGCGACTTGCGGCAAACGATGTCGGCCGTCGGGGCGTCGGTGCTTCGGTTCCACCGACACGCTGGCCAGCAGGCCCTCGCCGCTCTTGAAGAGCTCTCATTCTCCCTCGAGAAAGCGGATTAATTTGTCAATTTAAGGCAAAACCCACACGAAAACTCCTAAATGACCAGCCAATGGAAGTGCAAAGGATCGAAAAGTGATCACCACACCCGATGTTTTTCGGTAGCCGAGGGATTCTCTATCGCCTCCTCCAGGCGTTGATCACAGACCTGGTTGGATTCGTGGCCCACATTGGGGTTGCCTTCGCTGAACGCCGGCCGATCAATTACGTGCCCCTACAAGAAGTACCACTGCCTTGTGGTTGTTGAGTTCTCACTTCTTCTCACTTCCCGTTTCCACCAACCACTCCACAATGCTCTCGACCGGTACTGCTCGCGCCGGCGCTGCCCTTGCGGCAGTGCTCCTCTTCTGCATTGCGACCACCACGGCATCCCTTGTCTCCGAAGCCGCTCACCCACGGCCGCACCAACCAGACCTACACCGAGGCCCTCTTCATCATCAACAACAGGGGTACCACCCCTTCTAATCCACGAGTTCGTTGGATTGGCACTGAACGCTGCGAGCAGATGCGCAGGGCGTGTGGAAGCTGATCAGTTTCAGCGTGACGGGGGCCTCCGTGCTGACTCCGTTCCCTCAGGCCTTTGGCCCAGGAGGTAAGTTAGAACCCGGTATGCAGATGTTTGGCTCTTGGATGATCATTTATTCAAAAGGGGATTTCGCTGGGTAGGCGTTGTGTGCCACATTGGCCCCGCCCAGGGAGTACAGCCCAGCGACAAGTGGAACGTTGCCTACAGCTTCATGACTTCGACCGCAGGTATTTGTTCAAAGCAGAGAGCAGATCAACCAGAGGCGTCATAATCAACTACGCAATGGCAGGCGTCGCCTGGTTTGAGGTCGACTATGCCAATGGCAGGTCGTCGCCCATACACATGAGCAGCCTCAACCATTTCAGCAACACGACCGATTCCTCCAGCGATTACGACGCCGAAGGCGGCAAGGGCTTCCTGTTCTCCTTCGACTACGCGACCAACTGATGATCCTCCCCACTTGATCTTTTCTTTATTTGTGCCTTTATTTTATTTATTCTTCTACTTACAACAATATTGTTGTACATCGTTGTACATTACAATTAGGAATTACACAACACCGCTGGGGCCAAGCTGACCCAACAAGTGGTCCCGTCGTAGGTCGTGCCCGGGCCTCATGTCGAGAGCCTCCTGGATGGCGGCGATGACGCTAGCCGGGCTGGACCACGGCACGAAGTGGTCCGAGTCGACGACACGCTGCCGGTGGTTGGTGGTCAACGCGCTGGCCTCGCCCGCCTGCGTCTCAATCCACAGCCCACGCTCGGCAGCCGGCATCGCCTCCGACACCGCCGCCACGCTCAGCACTGGCAGATCGCCCAGAGGTTCTGCGATAAAGAACATAACATTATAACAACGCACACGCACACGCACACGCACACAGAGCGGCGCCGTACTGTGGTTGCTGTCGGCGGCGGCCAGGCTTAGGAGCTCGCTCGAGAGAATACGCTCGCTGGGCTCGAACGCCATCAGCTCCTGGTAGGCCGTCTCCGGAAACTGTTTGGCCGACCTCTCAGCATCATGTGCGTGCGGTGGTGTGCGTGTGTGCTGTGGTTTGTGCGCCTGGGCGTGTACGCGGTGTTACCTTGTACTTGGTGACGGAGGCCAGCACGGCGTTGTAGAGGGGCGACGGGAGCGAGGAGGGCGGTGCGCCTGCGTCCTGCGGGAGCAGGCCCAGGGCACCGGCCAGCCGAAACGCGCCCACCCACTGCACGAATCGCGCAATGTCGAACGAGACTATGCCTGCGTTGTGATGTGTGATGTGTGATGTGTGATGTGTGATGTGTGATGTCAGCCCCACGTCAGCAAGCGCACCAGCGCCGTCGCAACCGTACCGGCTGTGAGCTGTTCGGCGAATCCTTCGATGCGGCCGGTCTGGTTGGCGATCACGGTGTCGATCAAGACCACGCCGGCTACGGCGTGGGGATAGCGCGCGGCGTAGAGCTGGGCGATGATGCCGCCGTAGCTCCAGCCCACGAGCAGGTGGGGCGTGGGCACCTCGGCCACCCGGAGCATGCGATGCAACTCATCGACCATCACCGAACTGGCAAAGAATCAAAAGATGCCATTTGGTGAGTCTCGAACTACACTGCCTGACATAAAACACACCACACACACACACACACACAACGCATAGTACACTCAGCACTAAGCCTTACATATTACGTGGATGGACACCCGCTTCGCTCCAGCCTGTGCACAGGGAGTATTCATCAGGATATGTGGCGGGCGTGTGCGTGTGCGATGGGTTTGAGTGTGTGAGCGTGTGTGTGTACCGTATCCGCTGCGGTCGTAAGAACAGAGAGTCATGTGGTCCGTAAGGCCGTCCTCTACGGCCTGTCGCAGCACCAACTCGAAACTGAGCGAACTGTAGGGCAGACCGGATTCGAACAGCACCGACGGACTGCCATTCCCCACGCAGTGGATGTGCATATAGTGGGGCCACGTCCCATGATGCCCGACGTTCACTCTGACATGTCACACGAGACACGAGACACGAGACACGACACCACACACCACACGACACACGACACGACACACGCTGCGTGTGAGCCGACGGCAAGAACGAAAGCGCCAAAGGCGAGAGAGAACCTGAGGCCGGGCGGCGGGTAGAGCCAGTCGTCCCGGACGTGGCCGAGGCACTGGTAGAGGGCGCCCGCCAGGAGCGCCAGGCCGACCACCCATGCCGCTGCCCGCAGCACCGCACGTCGCCGCTGGCGTCGTCGGGCGGCCTCGTTGGCTTGCATGACAGCGAACGGATCGTTGGCCGAAGAAGATGATGGCCACGATGGTGTTGTGGGAAGGGGCGCGTAGGCGGAGGACGTAGAAGTAGGAGAGTTGGAAAAGAGGCAGGTCAGCAAGACCTGCGCGCGCAGCTTCTTCACCTCTGCAAAAATCCAACGTAGAGATTGGAAATGGATAGAAAGGGATTTGGTGAGGTGGCAGCTGTAAATCGAAACTGATTATTGATATTAAATAAATAGCTTTAGAAAGGGAGGCAGTACCATGGCGCCACAGTAGGTTGGCATCGTCTGGTTCGTGGCTGGGCATGATGCCCAGCCGCTTTTGTTTTCTCTTCCTGTGTCGTTCGCGTAGCACCAGGTGGTCCATTTTCTTTGTGTCTGTGTGTGTGCTGTGCGTGCACCCTCTTGTTTTATGGGCGTTGAGGCTGGTGTTGTTGATAGAGTCACGATGGTTTTGTTGAGAGAAGAGGGCCGGAGTCGCTTTGTGTCAACTTGCTGGTCTCGTCGTTGCTGTGTCAAGTGGCGCCCAGGAAAATCCCAATCCATCGCCAACGCGCGGAATTCAGGCGAGACACTCCGCACACACCGCACACACCGCACACACACAGACAGAGTGGTTGCATGGTGTCGTTCCACGCCGCGCAGTTGTGGGTTCTCGTCCAACCCCACACTGCGCTGGTGTCGTGACTGCTTGTTGCACGAAAGGTAAGTGGAGTGACCATTAGCAAGCTAAGCTAAAAAATAAATATATATTATGGTGTTGCCTGACCGTGGGCAAGCAAGCGCGTGTGTGGATCAGAGGAAGACGGGCGGGATGAAGAAGTAGGCGGCTACGGCCAGCAAGACCAGGCCAATGAGGTTGGCCAGCAGACCGGCCCTCGCCATGTCCGTTACCTGGAACGAGAGTGGAGCCAAGGCTGACGTCAGCAACACAGACAAGCCACACCGGCGCACGCAACGCACGCGAAAGAACGCAGGCCGTACCTTGAGTTGTTGGGAGGCAAAGATGATGGCGTTGGGCGGGGTGGCCACGGGAAGCATGAACGCGTACGAACACGAGATGGTGGCTGGAATCATCAGCAGCAGCGGGTTCTGCTCGATCGACACCGCGATCACTGGACCGCGCGGAAAAGTGACTCGCGTGTGAGGACGAGCGCGTGCGTGCGTGCGGTGTGCGTGTGCGGGTTTTGGGCGGGGTACCGGCCAAAATGGGGAGAAGCATGCTGGCCGTGGCTGAGTTGGAAGTGAGCTCGGTGATCCCGACGGTGAAGAAGCAGATAATGAAGAGCATCAAGAACACCGGCACCTAAAAAGAATGACATCGTTCACATTCAAGTCAGATTCGGTGGGCCACTGCGTTGCGGCCGCCAAGCTCACCGGCAGGTGGAGGGATTGCGCACCTGTTGCAGCACTTGCAGCTTTTGTGCCAGGTAGAGCGAGAGGCCGCTACTCGAGATGCCGCGCGCCAAGGCGAAACCACCGCCGATCAAAATGATCACGTCCCTGGGTCGTGCATACATAAACGCGAGATGAGCCAATTCCCCCAAGAGAATTTACTATCGCGTGCGCGGAAGGTGGTGGTGCTGAAGGGTAGTAGTACTACGACTACGCACCAGGGCAATTTGCTGCATTGCTGCCAATCGAGGATGTTGCGAGCGGGATCCTGCCGCGAGGGGATGAAGAACAGCACGATCGCCGCCGCTGTTGTTGTTGTTGTTGTTGTTGTTGTTGTTGTTGTTGTTGTTGTTGTTGTTGTTGTTGTTGTTGTTCACGTGATCACACGACGTTAGCGGGTGCAATGGGCGTGTGCCGTATAGTGGCTGGTTAAGGTGGTTTGTGGGCGGGGGGTTACCCATGGACACGGTCCCGTCGGATATGTAGTTGGACGGGTGGGAGAAGAGCTGCTGCCAGCCTGGAATTCCCAGGTCGGAGATCCCCTTGCGACTGAACCTGTGCGCACAAGAGGTGGTGTGAGCCCCACAAGGTCTGGAATTCTTGGAATGGAAGGAAACCTAATGGAATGTGATGCGGGTCACACACACACACACACAACTCACTCACTCACTCACTCACTCACTCACGAGTAGAGTTGAGGTACCATAGGAGGGCGAGACCCACAAAGTCGACCAGGATGACCTTTTGCGGGAAGCTCATGGGACCCATGCGGTGGTAGGCCTCCTTGAGCTGCCGGGTGTCGACCTTGATGTAGTGCGCCTGAGCCGCTGGCGGGCAATACAAATATACGAAACACAAAAAGAGCAGCGCCTGCACGACACAACGCACACACGCCGGACACGATACGCGACACACAACACACAGGAGTGAGGACGGCCACAAGGCCCACGACAAATTGAGCCAGAGAGAGGCACTAAGGAGTGCGCATACCACGAAGAAAGCGGCGAGAGGGAAGGCAAAGATCATCCAGTTGAAGAAGGAGATGACATCGGCCATCTCCGGGAAGAGCAGTCCCACTTGCCGCAACAGAATCAGATTGGGGTTGGTTCCTGTCGTGAAGATTCCAACCACACATCAGCCTTCATCCTTCTATCATTCGTGACTGGCTCACTGGCCAGTTAAAAAAAGTACCGATTATGGTGGCCGTGCCGCCTATCGAGGCTGAATAGGCAATGCCCAAGAGCAAACCTGCGAGTGGAGTGGTTGGTGCGTGTGTGTCGTTGACGAATGGTTGCGAGGGTGTAGTGTGGTTGGATTGGATTGTAGCTCTGGTGCTTACCTTTGGTGTAGGTGTGGATGACCTGCTGTCGCTGCTTGGCTTGGGCCGGGGTGTCGAGATAGCGACTGTCGATCAGGTGTTGCAATCGGCCGGTCGGCCCGCCGGCGCCGTCATCGCTGCTGCTGTCCTCGTAGTCGACTATCGATGCCGGATTGCCCAGCTGATCACCACTTGTCTCGCGCTCCCCACTGCTCGTGTAGTTCCGCTCGAGAGTGTAGAATGTGTGATTGTCCCTATAAAGACGGCAGTAGCGTGAGTGGTTAGATCACCAAAAATGACTTGGTGCAACTAATGGATGATGATGATGATGATGATGATGATGATGATGATGATGATGATGATGATGATAGTTTACCGTTTTAGAAGTTGTGTGGACTCGCCCGTGGCCTCCTTGATCTGGTGCAGTATGGCCAGAGCAATCGGGACCTGCACCGGCCGACCGAGCGTGGATCTCAGCACTTTGGTCGTTTCCAACAACGCATGCCCGCAAAATGGTACGTACCATGAGCGAGGTGGTGGCCGAGTTGTTCAGCCACATCGACAGGAACGCCGTCATCGCCATGAATCCTGCGATCATTTCTGAAAGTCAGTGTCACGCGAAGAAGGTCCAAGAAGGTGAGGGCGGGCCGCACCTCCAAGGATCACGCGCGGCTTCTCGCCCAGATAGAGAATGAACTTGAGCGCAATCCTTCGGTGCAAGTCCCATTCCTCCATCGCCAGAGCTACCTGCCCACGCGCGCGAATGTGAATGCGGATGCGGATGCGGACCTGCGGCATGCAAAGCTGAAAAATCGTACGAAGAAGGAGCCGAGGAGAAGGAAGAGAGTGTCGTTGAAGTAGTTGGTGGAGACCACTTCAGCCGAGAGGATGCCCAGGACGGGGAAGAGCGCCAGTGGTAGGAGAGCGGTGACGGCCAGCGGCAGCGCCTCCGTGATCCAATATCCGGCTGTTCAACGATCATGTGAGCGACAACATGACACGCACCAAGGTGGAGTGCTTACCCATGAGAAGAATGACGAAGGTGATGCGGCACATGACGCCGGTGAAGGCCGGCGAGTGGAGCCCCAGCAGCTCGACCCACAGCGGCGGCGAGGCGATAACGAGAATTGCCACCCGCACCACCCATGCGTGCGCTCGCCACCACAGCACCCACCGGGGCGGTCGCATGGTGTGATCCTCCTGCTGCGACGGGTCGTCCCCGTCGTACTCTGCCGGCGGTGCACGCCCTGCGCGCGACATCGTTTGCCTGCACATAACAATTGGAATAGAAACAGAAATATGTTGAAGAGTTATTGTCTCCTCATCTTGTGGAATCGAACCCATTAAATATTGGTAATCGAGATTTGTGCCAATTGCGATGAGAATGGAATGGAGCGAGCACCTGAGGTTAGAGAAGGGCGAGAGCAAACTGGGTCCTGCTGCTTGCCACTTCTGTCCTGGGGCTCTCTCGTCATGCGTCTTGGTCTTCGAGAGATTTTTTTTGCAGTTTTTTGTTTTCTGTTCTTTTGTGAATCAGGAAATGGACGCCAGGTGATTAATCGCGATAACTTATAATTATATCGCGTACATGTTGTTCTATTGTACGAGTACATCTTGGCACGCATCGTGGCGTACATAATAAATAAATAAATAAATAAATAATAATGGGGAGGGAAGATTGCAATACCCCTCCTCTATCCGATCACCGACCGTCGGGCTTTCACGAATTGGAGGAGAGGAAGTTGTTGAGTCGGTCCATGATGACGCCTCGCTCTTTGTCCTTCTTCTTGGTCTTGTCCTTCGACGGTCGTTTCACTCGCTTGCTCTTCGTTCGCTTCTCCTTCTCTTTCGTCTCCTCCTTCTCGTAATAATGGCCCTTCGCCTTGGTCTCTTGAGGATGGAGCGGCACGGGGGCGGACGAGATGAGATGAGAGACGGCAGAGGGCGGAGAGGGCGAGGGTGTGGAGGCCACGAGCGAGGCAGAGGGCATCTTCTGAAACTTCTTATCCTCCTTCTCGAGCAGCGTGATGAGGTTACGCATCTCCTCGACGTAGTTGAGGGCATCGGCGAGGTCCTCCTTCAACTGAACCACGCCGAGCTCGGTCCATCTCGTCTTCTTGTACTCGCCCATGTTCGTGCGCAGGTAGAAATGCGCGTCCATTCGATCCATCACGAAGCTGCGACTCCTTATCTTGCTCCATCCTGGGGACGAGGGTACGTGGGGCCTCGTCTCTTCCATTCTGTCTCGAATAATTCAACCAAAATTGTTTTCTAATCTGGCCTTCTGCCAAACGAGGGATGGTGAAGATGAAGAGGCCAGCCTCGAGCAGTGTACAGCGAGATCTCGAGTGCTTGTTGTCAATTCAGACCGATGTCAGTTCTTTGACCGTTGGCCAAGCCGGGACCTCAGAATTCAAATGCCGTGCAACCGCAGCCAACGCAGGGGATTTGTTGTTGTCCAATAAGCGCGACCACTGGTCGTAGACCGCACGTGCAGGAGTAGAGTGGAGCGGAAGTTCTTTGTTTGGTTGGGGTGTACACTACACCACAACTAAAACAAAGGCAGCTCCTTGTGCCGGGCGCTGCGAGATGACCATCAAGACGTGAGTCAGTGGGCGGGTGCGCACAATGGGGGTGAAGACAACGTACTCCAGGCCAAAGTCGAGGACGTAGCAGAGCATGGCCACCGAAGCCAGGCCGACAGCAGAGAGGAAGTGCCAGATGTCTGGGGACATAACTCGAGCGGTGAGCGAAGACAACGCAGGAATCGACAACAGGTGGCACCACGGTACCATGGTAATCGAAGAAGTTGAAGAGGACGCAGGGCTTGTTGAGCAGCTTGGACTCGGCGGGCGTAAGAAACTTGTCGGTGACGCCCAGCTGGAAGAAGTACAGCGCCGTCCCCTGCAGATGGATTCAGCACGACACACATCAACGTTAATATTCAACGCCGTACAGAGCGGGCGAGAGGGACAGGTTGGATACCCAAGTGGAGATGGAGACGACGACCAGAAGCCACACGAACAGGTGGACCCTCTCCCGGTGAAGCATCTTCATCAGGGCGTAGAAGGTCATGTAGAGAAACGTGTTGATCATCACAATGGCGCTGCGGCGTTGTCAATAACGCGTGGGTTAGCGTACGACACATGCATACGCAAAGCTGAAGAAATGTAGGAGGCTTACAGCATGTAGTTGGGGACCGACTCGGCCTTGTTGGTGGTAATAGAGTCCACTGCGGCGTAGACCAGTGTTCCCAGCGATAATGCATTCACGAACAGGATTCCAATCAATCGACCCTGAATATCAAACATGTTTACCACTCGAATCAGTCAGCGGCGAGAGCGAGAGCGAGAGAGAAAGAAAAACGTACGGGTTCGGTGGGTGGCCACGGGTGGGTGATGTTGTAAATCACAGTGCGGACTGGCAGACGCTTGTGATAGTAGAAATGTATATCGCCCAGCAAACCCGCAATGATGAGCACCGTGAAGGTGAACGTCCATACACTACGGGACAGGCGAAGGAATCGTCAGTGCATGCCGCGTGCCGCGTGCGTGCTGCTTTGTGACATACATTTCAACGTAGATGTCGGTAAGGGCGAGGAAGGAGATGAGGATGAGCAAGGCGAAGAAGATGAATGCTCGCACTGCACCCGGGGCGGTGGTCGGATGCCGCTTTTGGAATACTGTAATGAACATGAGACCAGTTCCAATGACCATGAATGTGGTATCGAACTGCAGCCCAATAATCAGAAAAAAAGTTTAGCAAAACGCCTGCATGTGGGCGTGTGCGGTAGTGCGTGTACCTGGTAGTTGACTTTAGATGGACAGATATGATAGAGGCTGGAGAAGAGGCCCTCCCACACCATGGCGAGAGCTATACAATAGTACAGGGACCGGTCCTTGTGCAAGCCGTGACTGTTGTAAGGAGGAGGAGGAGGCAAAAACGGTCCGTAAAAACCACGGCCGCTTCGCCACACAACGTGAATGATGCAAGAGGAGGACAACGTACACTTCAGTCTTGTTTCGCTTCCGGGCTATATAAATGAACAGACCGAAGAGCGCACCGCCCACAACATAGCCGATGTTGCTGAAGACTGCATCGAGCACAGACGATCACCAGTCAGACACACGATTGCGCGCAGAAGGCAACCATCATGGTATGGGCGTACTGTTGTTGAATGCCTCGAAGCCCAGAAAGTAGTGCGCGCATTTGAAGTTGTAGTAGCACTCAAGGCCGCTCGCGTTGTGCTTGTACTGGAAGAACACGAACTGGGCCGAGGGCAGCGCGTAAAAGATGCCCACCAGCACCAACAGCTTGTAGTACTGTCCCCGCCACCAGGCACCCCCACCGCCAGCGCTTCAGGCCAAATAGACCGCCAAATGGGCGAAGAGAAAAGATAAAAATTGCCAGAAAAGGAAAGGAAAATAAAGATAGATAAAAAATAACAAATAACAAATAATCAAAAGGAGAGCGTACAGTTTTCAGGTAGACCACTCGTGGCTTGCGCTGTAGCTTCTGTAGCTTGTAGACGATCACGTCTTCTACTTTTCCAGGGACTGTGGTGAGGTCCTTCAAGAGCTTGATGGCCTTTCGTCGCCCGCTGCCAGTGCCATCGTCTTCTTCCTGTGCCAACGTTGCTGCACCCTCCTCCACGTCCCTCGCTCGCGTGGTGTTGATCGAAGTTGAGGTCGAGCTTGAAGGGGAGGTCACCCCGTACCCGGCCGTGTGGCTGTGCACCAGGGCGACGGCCTCTGCCTGCTCCTCCTGCACGTACTCCCAATCCTCGTCGTCTATCCCAACCTCCTCCTGTGACCCACCGTTGTTTATCGGCAGCACCGGCCTGCTGCCGTCCTCCATCTTCTCGCACAACTCTGCAGCCGAGGCGTTGTTGCTTGTCCTCTCGTGTCTGGCTCAGCCTCTCTCCGAGAATCTCAAAAATGAAATGAGTAAAACCCAGCTCGTGGTTTGAATATCTCGCGGTTAATCGAACCTTCGGCGGAGGATTCTTTTGAAAGGTCTTGGTCGTGTTCGCAAGGGCGGGAGTGGGCGTGCAACTCAACCCCCTCCCCCAATCCGTGTGTGGGCGGTGGCAGTTGGTGGCCAACTCAACCCCCAATCTCCATGTGGCAGGAGGTGGCAGTTGGCCCGGTGTGCCGTCCGGTCTCTGGTGTCGTGGAAGTGGAATTCTTGGAGCTCTCGTCTTGTTTTCATCAAGGCGGCCCAATTCCTTCCTCGAACGGTTTGGACAAGGGACAAAAGAGGCCCAACGGTTACCACACTTTACATCTTCACGAACAATAGAGAGTCTCTATGCGTATCGATGAAGCGCCGTGTTGAGCTGCCGGTGAGGGTGGTACGAAAAGAAGTGGAGGAGCTGGCTGTGCCCAAGGATGACCTGCACCAACGAAGCCAGAACGTAGAGGCAGAACCGCGGAAGAAGAGGAAGGTGGTAAAGACCTCGGTCACTACAGTCACTACGATCGTGACCGAGGCAGTGGATGCCGAAAGCCAAGAGGAGGTGGTCCACGGCCAGCCGCAGCATCAGCCCGAGACACAGGAGGCGAGGGAGGACAGAAGGCGGCTGCTCCGCCAACTCGACCTATTGAAGGAGCAGCTCCTTGAGGAGGAACGGCAGCAACGCCACCATCATCATCACCATCAACTCCATCATCATCCAGCGCACGAGACTCAGCGTCACGAAGTAGCGACTCACGATGATTCAGCTGGACGCAATGTGGTAGACGATCATGCTCTGTCCCAGCGGCCCCCCTTCAGTCCAACGCCCAGCTCGCGCCTGGTACGACCCTCACCACGTAGTTCCATCTTCCTCTACTTACTGATGTGACTTTTTATATAGCGAATGCAGCAGGCTAGCGCAGCCCGGGAGCAAGTGGAGGTTATGGAGAAGGGCTACATCTATTTCCTCTACAGGCCCAAGGTAGGCGCCCAGGAGGCCAAGAGCTTCGACGACGTCGCCCGGATGTACATCCTGCTCAAGACCCTGCCAAAGAAGGCTGACGCACTCTCCGAGCCGGAGGAAGAGGAGATAGAGGGCGATGAGAGCGCGGCACCCGCCTTCTACAGGCTCATCCGTATCGGCAAGAAGAAACTGCCTTCCATCAGGGGTACGACTCGCTCATTGTCTCCCTCATCCCATGACGGAAGAGTGCTGACTGCGTGGGTGTGCAGAACACAATCGGTTTTGGGGCATCATCGAAGAGGCGACACACGACTACGAGAAAATCCACCACCTCATTGTCTCAGAGCACTACACCACGCTTACCCTTGGTGAGCGGGTTACTCCTGCCTGCAGACCTGCCGGTGAAGGTACAGTTGTATGTTTCGCGCAAGCTCACAACATCAGCTCATCAACCATGTAACGCTCTGCGCAGGCGTCTACGGTATCGTGAAACGCGACAACTACAGCCACTTAGCCTATGTGCTTGAGCTACCCCATGGTACGTTGGTTGTCTGTTCGAAGCTTGTGCGGGTTCGTGCACTCACTCTCGGTCGGCCAGAATTGGGTGAGGTGCAAAAGGCCCTCAATATCGTGGCCGAGGGGTGCTTCGTGCTATCGGTCAAGAACCCTGAGGCGTTGCCCTACTCGACCTACTCCGCCACCCTTCCAACCAA